TTCGACTGAAATATTTTATTTATTTTAATTATTTCTTCAAGAAATACGAAATATGTATTTTTTTCGACGATCGAACGAAACTGAAATTTTTCAAACAATATCTTGATTAACAATCCCCTTTAACAAATCTAAATTTAAAAATTCTTCATTTTTCAACAATTCCAGTTTCACAAAATTAAAAGAATTTATTTAAAATTGTATTTTAATTCTAACTTTTCTATCTTCTACTTTATTAAATTAACATCAATGTTGGAGAATTTATATAGCTTTTAACTTGATCAAAATTTTTGTTCACAAAATTAAAAAAATTTTAATTCTAATATCTTCTATTTTATTTTTTATTCGATTAACAACAATTCTGGAGAATTTTTACAATTATTAACTTTATAAAAATTACAGTTTCACTAAATTAAAGAAATTAATTTAAAATTCTATTTAATTTATAACTTTTTCTAATTTATGTTTTATTAGATTAACAACGATTCTGGAGAATTTTTACATTTCTTAATTTTATAAAAACTTCCACTTTCACGAAATAGAAAAATTAAAATTAATATAACTCAATTTAAAATTCTACTTTAATTCTAATTTTTTTGATTTTACTTTTTATTAGAGTAACAAGAATTCTAGCGGATCTGGTATTTGTTAACAATAATTTTTGAGTGATAATGTTTTACGAATGCTAAAGAATTTTAAAGTATCGCGAATTTTTAAAATCCTTTTTCCTTTTTCAATTTATTTTACCAATGAATTTTCCACACTATTTGCATAAACAATTGACCAAGGTCACCAAAAACGAGTTTTAATTTTTCCACGAATATTAAATCTTGTTTTTAATTGCAACCAAACTTAAAAAATTCAAAACTATTTTAATTCTCTGAAAGTTATCAGTTATTTTAAAAGTCTGTAACTGTTTAAATTCCAGAATAATTGTTGCTTCCATCAAAAATTAAGTTTCATATTCTTGCAAAAATCTAGTCTCAAAATATTGTTTTTTTAATTGCAAATAAAATTTTTTAGTTTAAAACTATTACAATTTTTTCAGAAATATAAATAATTTTTGTTGGAAAAATGTGCAAATTTGTCAACTCCTGAGTAATTGTTGCTCATCGATCATAACTTCTTTTAATTAAAAAAGAATGCCCCTATTTTGTTGCAAAAACCAGTAGCAAACAAATGTTGTTGTTTTTTTTTTTAAATTGGAAAGAGTAGTTTAAAAAATCGAGTTTCATTCGACCTTGGATTTTTCAAACTTCGAGGTAAAAAGCTTCCACTAACAATATTGTTATTTTGCCCGGGAAATTATTAAAAACTTCATAGTTCGGAATTTTTAAATAGTTTTTTGTGAATATAGTTCGTTAGCATAAGTTCGTAGAATGATGGGAGTCGTCGAAGGCGCCTTGGTTTCTTTTATATAATATATGTATATAATATATATATATATATGTATAGTTGTTAACAATATTAATTACAGGTACCTAAAAATGTCTCCCACGTTTTGGAAAAAAGTAGGAAAAATTGGAAAATCCTGTTTATAATCATCTAATGAACTACTTTTCATACGATTTTCCACTCGGTTTATCGATCTGACTATTTTTGTGTGGTTATGGCAATGTTTTGAGGTCGAAATAGGAAATTTTGAACTGGAGAAAATAGAAATTCTGCGAGAATGTGCTTTTTTCGAAAAATTCTGAGGGAAATCGGAAGATCTGGTTGGAAAATTGGGAAAATATAGAAAATGGGACTTTGGACTAATGGAAATTGTTTCTGTAATTAGGACTGATGAGGGGGAGGGGAGGGGCAAAATTAATGGATTTAGTTGGAAAATTGGAAACAAAAATAATCAAAATTTTGGATATAATTTTCCCTTTCTGTATAACTCAACTTTTTCCTCCTTTTCTTAATTTTCCCCCAGAATTAAAAACCATTTTCGCAGTTAGTGCATCGCTTTGATAAACGTAGGGTAATTTATGATTTAGGATAATTATCGAGATTAATTGGCAAATTAGATGAAGTTTCAGTACCCGCCGATTGTTTAATTAAATGGCGTTTTGAATATTTTCGGAGTCTATAGATATCCTTTGATCTAACGTTTATTGCTACGCCTCGGTTGCTATGTCGGAAAGGGATTATTATAATTATTTCGAGTGGGGAATACTTCGGTACAAAGTGGCTTGGCAGTGTTTGACAGTGATTACTATAATGAAACGCGTCCGCTGCTTTATAATGAATATTTAAACCTTGATTGGTATTTTTCATTCGACTGATGTTCGAATATCCCATAATTATGTGTAAAAATATCCTATTGTAGGTATTATTTAAATAACTATAAAACTAAAAAAATAAATTAAATTTTTCAAAGGAAAACTACTTTTATCATTAAATTAAGTTATTTACAAGCCGAATCATTTTTATAAAATGTATTGGAGATATTTGTATCTATTAAGACAATTTAAATAACTTAAATCTTTTTTAAAAACATACTAGATATCTATATGAAATAGTATATTTATTGCTATAAGTGATATAGTAGCTACAAATAACTGTAGAAAATGGAAGAAATTTCCAATTCGAACAGAAATTGTCAAATGCACAGTTTCCAATTTATGGATAAAATTTATGAACATCATAGAAAGAATTCATAACAAAATATGTGAAATATCTTGTAGTTAAATGTGAGAACATTCTATTTATTATATTACAATGGAACTAAAAATAAATTAAATTTTATGGCGATAACTATATTCTTTCTATTTAATTTAAATAACTCAGATGTTCTGTAACAATCTATTGGAGATATATTAATTATTATAATTGTTGCTATAATTCACAAAATTGCTATTAATAGCTCTAAAAAATAGAACAAAAATTATACAACATAAATTTGCTAATTCTTCTAAATAACTCAGATATGTTTAAACGCTTTTTAGAAATATTTATTTTACCTAATATACATGTTGCTATTATTTACGAAATATAAAAAAAAAAATAGACAAAATTTCAATTCTTTGAATTTTATAATTCTACACAAATTCTCGAACAGAAATTTTTCAATTCATCAGAAAAGAATAAAAAAAAAAAAATCCCCCAAAAAGATTAATAACGGGATATTCAAATACAGTCCTAGTAACTAATTTTCTGTAGAAACCGAGCAGCCAGTATGCCAATATATAAATAAACGCGTCATGCACGATACAAGCCTCTTAATAGTGAAATTTAATAATAACTTTTCAGTCAGAAGTTTAGAAATATTAATAATTTTTATTTGTTTATTTAAATGATATTAAAAAAGACCCTAAAAGCTTGAAACAATTATGCGAATCAACTTCCTAATTTACCACCGTTCATTTTTATTTATTTTTTTACTTTGGAATTGTTTAAGCGCACTTGTTTATAATAATTTTTAAACTATAAATTTTTTTTTTAATTTTTGGCGCATTTTCAAAGGAATTTTAATGATTTCTCGAGTTTCATTCTTCACTATAATACATTAAAAAACGATATTCCCTTCCTTAGAACCTAATTTTGCCATAGTAGTCTATTTCAAAGATTATTATTGTTTGATTAGTGTTTTTTTTTTTTTTTATTTTAGAAACAAAAATTTTAAGGTTTGAAATCGGTTTTGTGACATTTTTTTTTTTAAATTGTTCCAAGATGGAGGCGGAATTTTGTTCGCCATTTTGGGCCGAAATTAAGTTTGGTGCAAGCAGCCTCGATTGTCCGCATCGATACGAGTTTTTATTCGTTTAGGAACGCTTTTCTTACGTTTACAATTATTTATTACCTTTTCTTCAGGACCAATTCGAATCTCTTAATTAATTAACAAATGCCAATAAAAGTTTGATTTAAAAACGTACAAAGAATTTTGTATTCACATAAAATTTTTCCGAATAATTTCAACTATTGTATTAATTGGCATAAAATTGGAAATGGAATGATGAAAATTCACAGTTTAACCCTTTTAATGCCAGCGGGCCGATCTATCGGCCCGCGGTCCTTATGCGAAAACTGCCAAGGGCCGATGCGTTGTGGCGGACCGACCGCCCAGCGCGCTTACATGCTGAGGGACTTTTTCTGTGCCTCGTTTGGAGGCCCTCGCTTGTTTACGTTCAGATCATTATTTCTCTGAGTGTCAAGTGGCATTCGTTTACACTTGATCTTTATCTCCGATGCCAATAGTATAGACCACACCACACCATGCTTCAGTTCATTTGGTTTTTCTTCAGTCTTTCTCTGGCGTCTGTTAGTGAAAGTCGAAGCGTTTTCCTGATTTCTTCTATTCCAATATTTGGTTTTAGTCAGTTCATATATTATTTTGAAATAATACCTCGGTCAACAATGGCAGAGCAAGTTCAGAAAGATACTGCAGAAAGTTTGGTGCCATCACATTTTGACAACGGCAATGCATCATCGAATAGTGATGACTCGCTCATCCATCCTGTTGGACTTACTTCATCAAGAAGACGAAGAATATTGTCATCCGAAAGTGAATTTTATAAGCGCGCATATCAAATCGGCCCGTGGCATTCTTCGCATGTACTCCGTAAAATGCCTGGCACTAAAAGGGTTAAAAAATTCCAATTTATCAGAATTTTCGAAAAACGAAAAATTGAATTAGGAAAATTTCAATTTTTGAAAATTCTGATTGTTTAGAACTTATTAATTTGAACGAAAATTTTCAGAATAATTTTCACTAATTAACAGAAATTTAAGCATCAAATTACAAAAATTCCATGTTTTTAGAATTTTTTAATTCGAATGAAATTTTTTACCTGAAAAATAGAATTAATTTTTTACTTTAATCTTTCGAATTTTTGTTGACGATTGTTCTGCAAATAACTTAATTAAAACTCAAATTTGATTTTTTAATATTAGTAAATATTAATGGAATTTAAATATAAAAATTAGTGATAATGAAGAAAATAGAATTGGTCCTAAAAAATATTTTTATTTTTAACAGCCTCGAGTTTTCGTCGGTTTTTCGTAGATGGATCCTTCGTTTTCGATCGATAAATCGCGATCGAACTTTGCAGAAAAGTGGAAAAGATTCTTCGTCGAGGAAAAAGTGTTTTTTTTTCTTTTCGGTTGATTTTTTCAGTCCATACGTTTATAGGGTCCTATAGTTATCGTGGGACGCTTCGAATCTTAGACGATCTAGCATAATCGAGGAATTCTGATGCGAGTGTCCTCAAAGAAGATCAAGATGTCCCATAGACGCAGGCAGAATTGTCTGGTGGACTGATTTTTTCCACTGGCAATACGGCTGCTCTATGCCATTCGTCGCGAACCTGAAATTTTTAACGAAATTTTACTAATTTTATTCGGAGATGATTATTGTATGTTCGTTTACTGTTTCTGTTCTTCGTTCCTATCAATAGACTCATCTTCGTGTAGTTCTGCGACACGTGTTTTATTTGCCAACTTCACGCGCGCTCCACATAATTCAACAATATCTATCAACATTATTGTGATAAACTAATGTGCACTGTAAATACGAGATAAAGATGTATGTTTATTGTTCACATTCAACTCGATCTTTTTTGTCAGATTACTGTAAATGTTAGGACGAACACTACATTTCAGGTCATATAATACGTTGATCTTTAAACGACTTTGAAGTATAACACGTTTTTATGCTAATTTTATGTATAAAAAATGTACTAAAAAAATTTCTATTCAAGTCTACAAACTTGGAGAATATTCTGAAATAAAATAAGTACTGTACACAAATTTTATGACTCGAAATCATCTTCGAAAAGAATAACCTCGATCTTGTAAATTTTAGAGAAATAATATTTGGAACAAAATTCATTTGTAATTATATTGATATTTTTAAGACAACTGGAATTATTTCCCATCATCGGAAACAAATGAAAGGAACTTTTAAAATCATTAGTGTGTTCCCTTTTTTTTATTGAAATGTTTAAACAATTAGCGATGGAATTAATTTGAATTATCAATGGTTTTGGTTTTAATTAATTGAACATGATTCACCTGCTCGACTTTAGCGAATACCCTCAGTAAATTGAGGCCAGCCAACTTTTTAATATCTTCCTCCGTCCATGTTGGATCTTCCAGCAGGGTGGCCAACAACTGAGGATACCTCGAAACGTCCTCCAAACCAGTAGGAGTACTATAAACAAAATTTTAGCCCCCACTGTAGCATCGATTGTCGATTAGAACGAATAATTGCGTGGAAATTGTTCTAAAGTGTTTAAATTGTTCATTGTTTGGATAGACAATTGTATTAAATTTGTGTAAATTATTCATTGTTTCGATGGTGAATTCTATTAAATTTGTTTAAATTGTTCATTGTTTGCGTGTCGAATTCTAGTAAATTTGTTTTAATTCGTTGATGCAAGATGGAGATTCTCTAATGCAGAAACGCATCGAAAATGTTTAAAAGATAATTACAAATTTATCCCGTCGAAGCCAGCTCCAATTCCAACATGATCGATCCCAGCCACCTTCCGGATGTGATTGATGTGTGCTGAAACAGACGTAACCTTTTATTATACTCTTTAAAATATTCTTAATTAGCAATTTTGTACCATTTACGATCATTTAAGACAGTATTTTTCATCATTTTTTGCCAAAAAATTATACAATCTTATTTATGCAATGCGTACAAATTTTTCGAAAGTAAAATGTTTAATAATTTTCTCGCGATCGATAAAAATATTTAGATATAGAAATCAATTTAATTTAAGACGTGTTCTCATTTAAAACGCCAAACAGTTTCTTTAACAAACAAATGCGAGCCACAAATAATCATAAAACTTGATTAAACGGTAAACAATTTACTTAACGAACAGTTTCGAGGCTCCAAAAAAATAATTATATAGTAAATAATTGTTATCGTAATTTTTATAATTATTTATTTTCCCAGAAAAATTAAACGAATGACAAACAACTATTTCTAACAGAGACTTATTCGTGTTAAAATTGAAATCATCAATAATTTTTACAATTATTATCGATGATGAAGCACTGTATAATTTTTATGATTATTAATTTTCAATACTAAAAATTAGAATGTGAGTAAAATTGTAATGTGCTATTTTTTTATAGAAGAATAATTATAAATTCATAGTGTATTTCTTACCAATAACGTCTTTTATGGTGGCGGTGTTGTTGCAAGTTATGAAGTAGGTATAAAACGGAACCATCGCCACTCCACCATTTTTAGCCTGCGAACAACCATACTTTCCTTAATTACAGACATTCATACCATAGTTCAAATATTATTTATCTTAATAAAAATACAATTTTAAAAATTTTAGTGAACAAATTAATCATCGTCATTATCATTACTATTATTAATTAAATAATTGGTCCTCCGAACAATAATAAGCTTTTTAATCTCGATTGCATTGCACGTTCTTTTGTCGCCTAAATTATGAAAATTTGCATACTTCATAGCATTTTATCCATAATAAAATTAATTTTACAACTAAAGATAGTTTGTATTAAATTTTCATTTTTATTGCGAATAAAAATTATTCTCATTAATTTGATATTTGTTTCGACCGAAGCACTATTTTTATTCTTTGTTAGCGAAGATTTCACTCCTTATTTAGGTTTTCCTAACTTCGTCCGAAGGTTCGATTAGCTTTGCAGCAACGAAAAACGACATCTGTCTCCCTTGAGAATTTTTTATTCGTCGTTTATAAAGATGTCGAGGATCGTTTCGAATCAACATTCCTCAACCAAAGAAGAAATTTTAAAAAATTCCACTCAATCCTCGCTGAAATCACATAAATCACACTCAAAATTGCTCAGTTTGGTCAGAGAAAATCTCGAAAAGTGTCTTTTTGAATGAAACAAAAAAAGAAAAAAGTAAACTTTAGGTTTTGGAATCCTCGAACGTGGTTGGCTGGGGAAAATCCTGAAGTTCGACCTGGTTTCACTGTGTTTGCTGACCTAAAACCAAATAATCTCTCCGCTGGCCGGGTGAAAAGGGTGGGCAGAGCGGAAAGTTTCACGTGTGGCGAGAGGAGAGGAGAGGCTTGGATGCTGTATGAATCATGCTACAGCGGTCTGCACTTATGGCAGGGATCCTGGGAATCGACCTAGAAAGAACCCTGGCCGAATTAGGCGAGTTTCTATAGTTGTATTAGGGAGAAAAAATTTGGAGAAATCACAATTAAATTATGATGAGAAATTCCCACAATGGACCAAACTGTTTTTCGGTACACGGACCATTAGATTGAATGCTGATCATCTATTTCGTGGATGGTAATTAGTAGAGTGCATTTATGAGAAATTTAAATTTTCCAAATAGTAATGTTTTGTGGGTGCAAATGTTGCTGTACCATTGATCGAGGATTGGTATCTCTCCAAATTCGACTATTTTGCTCATTAACATAGCTATCCATATAAAAGTTCTTCTTTTCTTCTTTTGGCAAAATTTTTAAAACATACTTCTTCGAATAGAAAAAATTCATTCACATCTTACAAGGTTAACACCTTTCCCATACAACTGTGTCAACTCATTCATCACAGAATTTAAAAAAAAGGACTAAACTTCAATATTTAATGTCATAAAAAAATTTATCCTAGTCTAAAATTCGCATAACTGTGCCCCACATAATTTCACAATATGTCGAACCATAAATCGAAGGTGACTAAACATTTTCCTCGTCACATATTTTCGATTTTCATCGAATATTTGGTATTTCTAATTTTTTAATTTAGTGGATCATAGTCGTTTGAAAACTCACCAGATTCCTAAGTACGTCGTCTGGCACGTTTCTAGTGGAATTACACAATGCCCTGGCGGCGCTGTGAGAGAAAATCACCGGCGCCCTCGTCGTTTGTAGAGCAGCCCTCATGGTTCTCGTCGAAACATGAGAAAGATCCACTAACATCCCCAATCTGTTCAATTCCCTGACGACTGCCTAAAAAATAATAACAATCAAGCATAGCTCTCAGATCTATTCTTCAATACATAGTTATCACTTATAAGAGCAAAAGAAATTTTTTAAATCGAACATTTCACAGAAAACATGACCTTGTAATAGTAGGATTTGTTTTTTTTATTTGAAAGAACAATATATTTGGATTCTTCGTGAGAAAAGTAAGCGAAAAGTCCTTTACCGTTTTTTGATACGTGGCTCCGTTCTTGAGATACGAGCAGTTGTGAGGTCTACCTAGGTCAGTGCCTCCATTTTTACCCATGATCAGCTGATATGCGCGGCATCACCTGCGCGCGATCGCACATTGAGACTTTAACTGTCCGTATCTCAAGAACGGAGCCTCGAATCGTGAAACGGAAAAAGATGTTTCGATTTCTTTTTGCGCACGGAATTCGAGTCTTACATTTTGGAACGTTCTGTATTTATTATTAAGTTTTGAGACCACGGATCACGTGAAGTTTATGAACCAGTGAAAAGCTTTCATTAATGTTCAATATAATTTTGTAAAGATAAATATAATATTGCCTTTAATTATTTTATTTTGGCCTGTAGAATCACGCCCTCAAAAAATGAATGACATATTGGTGATCGAACACATATTAAAAATAATTTTGTTATGGAAAAAACAATTTCCTAATGTGACAAAACATACTTGAATGAAAGATACGTAACTCATATTCAATAGAACTTATTTAAAAGATATTTTAACACAAGAAGAATAATTTCATTTTTCACTCTCCTTCAATTACAAAGTATCATTGATAATTTATTAGAAAAGCAAATAATACAACCCAGCGAATCGGAATATGCATCTCCAATCGTATTATAACTGGTTCAATGAGAATTGGCAGGAAATATAAACAGCTGCATGCGAGCGATAATATAGTAAGAAAGTGCGATAATATAATAAGAAGCTAATTTTTTAAACAAAAACTACATATCCTCAATATTAATATGATATTATTAATTAAATAATATTATATAATAGTGTATAAATAAGGAGGTAAATGAAAGTACGAATTGGGATATGGATATCTATATTTCTGCATTTAGCTTATCTATTTACTACTACGTACAATTTATGCTGATTCTGTGTTTGAAGTGTCAGAATTTAAATTAATTATAAACGATTTAATTAATGCATCAATACTGTGGTACAATTGCCAGAATTTGTATTCAATAACTTAAACATGATCAATGCATTTGCCCCAGTTTTCAACTATAACGTGTTCTAATGATTCGTGAAATAAATTTTTAAAAATGCTGGCTATTAATAAATGTCTTGTATACAAATTTACATTCATTTTCAATTAAATACACAGTTTATAATCCAGTTTTAATGCACACCAATCATATGATCATTAGGAATTGCTGAAACTTCTTGAGGCGCATAGAATCAAAGCAGATTTAAAAATAAACATAGAAGATAGCATAAATAATAATAGTGTATATATCCGTCGGATAGAGAATAAAAAGTTCTTCAAAATGAAATTTCTTTCAAATCGATATCGTAAATTTTGTTTCAAATCGATCGCGTGGCTGGTGCCAGAGATATAATGGTTCGAAGCTTTTGTTTACTTTTCATTGTTGATATCGGCACCAGGTTACTGACCGCGCGTGTAAATAGTAAACAGTACATACATAGTACATTCTTGGAAATACTATGTCACTCGGTCACTCGGTTACGACTCACGTGCAACAGAGGGGAGGGGGAGGGGCGAGGGGAGTGAGATAGCCGAATTAAAAAAATTACTTCCCTACATTTAATTAAAAGTTTAGTAATTTCATTACGCCTTCATCGATTTTTGTTTGATGAAGAGTGGAATTTTAAAAATTACCCCTTCATTTCAATTCCGATATCTCCGAAACGGAAAGTCGAATCGACATAAAACAGGAACTATTTTAAAGGGGAAGCCTTGCCGCTTCTAACAGTTGTTCAAATATAGATAAAACATTAATAGTTTTTTAACTGTATCTGTGTAAAGTTTAACTATTTTTAATACGCGTTGTTAGACTGTTCTGAAACAGTGCAAAGAGATTCTAGAGGCCAAAATAAGACGTAAATCAAGAATATCTATTTGTTGATTGAGGCTTCGTTAAAAAGTTATTAAAAAATTAAATTAAAAGTTTCAAATCATTCATGGAAAAATTATTTTCGATTGCGGGGGTCAATTACAATCATTTTTGGTCAATAGACATAACTTCGAAATCCTAACCATTTTCGAGACAAAAATACCTTACTGAAAATATAATTTGAAGCCAGAAATGTCACCCCAAAATTACTTGCGTATCTCTAAAACGTCACAAGTTTGAAACGGATTGAAAAATTTTAATGTTTCAAAATACAAATAGCGCGTATTTTAGTGAAGAATATGTAGAAAATCTAACAATATTGAAAAAGTTGTTCCTTAACCCTGTAAACTGAGAAAAAACCCATAAAAGTGGCCCAATATTCAAACAGCCATAATTACTACAATAGTGAATATATTTCAATGAAACTTTTTTCTGGAGTAGAGCTCATAGGTACCTACAAAAAAGTACTAACCAACTTTTCTGTACAGCTCCAACTAAATTTATTAAAAATGAAAAACGAATTTGTAAGAAAATTCTTGTTCTCTAAAGTTTTCGGCGAAATTGAAAAATTTCAAATCGTTCTGGAAAAATAATTTTCAGTTACGGGGGTCAATTACAATCATTTTTGGTGAATACACACACACCCGAAATCCTACGTACTTTCTAGAAAAAAAATTTTTTACCGAAAATATACTGTGTGGCCGTAAGTAAATGTTTTCATAACTTTTTAACGAAGCCTCAATCAACAAATTAGATTCCTTGAATTTCGACTTATTTTGGCCTCTAGAATCTCCCACTAAAATTTTTCCCATGGGTAGCCAACACCCTGTATATTTCCTATCTATACTATTATATAAAGAGAGAGCCGATTTTTATTTTCGCGCAAAACTCAAGACCTATTGAACCGATCTTCCTCAAATTTTGACACGTTATTCCTGCATACTCTAGGACGGACATAGGCTATGTAGCATGTCTTAGAAGCGCGTTATTAACATGTAATTTATATGCAAAGATTTCATGTGTACGACTGTTTGGCAGACCACGTGACCTCTGTATACGACAGTCTACTGGCGCGCGCATGCGCATATTCGGCTCGCGCGATACCTCGCCCGTAGCAGTACTGCGATGTTACCGCTAGGTGGCGAAGCTTCTCGAGCGCTTTCTCGCGAGAGAATTGCATTATCGCGGATATACATGTCAGGACGATCGTCTGGTCTTAAGTTGCTTTTGCACAAGGTCGGGCGAAGCCGAGACGGGGCATGCTAGTTTACTAATATTTGTGAGAGAACGTAGTAATATTTTGATTTCTGTTTGTATACTTCTTCAGTTATTGTTTCTACGTGAATGTGAGCGACCGTGGCATGTAAACATTGTTCTTCTATTTTTGAAATTGTCGTGGTTGTACATTTCGTGGTAAACTAGTCCGATAAAATAATAGTACATAATCACGTATTTTCACTTCTCAGTTGAACACGAGCAAGTGACAGTGAGTAATTGTTTATAACACAGTGTAGTACACGCAGTACAGTTTATTTAAAATACCTTTGAAAGATGGGTCGTGGAAGAAATTTAACAGAGATTGAAATACAAACAATTGTAATATTACCAAAAGAGAACTATTTTGTTTCGAAAACAGCCAGAGCTGTTAATAGAATTCGGGAAGTTGTTATCTGAATCGTACCGTCGCGGCGGTACTGGCCAGGTAGTCGCGTGAGTTTTCTTTTAAACTCTGAGGGGTTGTAAGGCCCTCTTAACCCTCGTGGTACGCGGGTTCCTAGCCGTCGCTCGCCAAATTAATCTTGAGCGACTATTTAATTGCCGGATTGTTTCGAATCGAAATCCGGCTGTTCTCTTTAATGTCGAATCACGAATTGTTGCTCACGAACCGCTTGAGTTGAGTTTTCGCGAAATGATGTTCGAACAACGAATGGTTCACGAGACGATTGAACTTTCTAAGCTGCGATTTCTTCGAAGATCGAATGACGAGTGTTCCCGAAACGATGGAACTGCAGATTTTCGACCGTTGTCTTCGAACCTTTTGCGACGAGTTAAAGATTTTGATCGTTGTTGTCTGAGATTTCAGCGACGAGTTAAAGAAGATTTCGACCGTTGTCTTCGAACTTTTAACGACGAGTTAAAGATTTTGATCGTTGTTGTCTGAGGTTTCAGCGACGAGACGAAGTGTCCGGAGCCTGTTTCCTCCTCGGCTTGAACCCCCTCCGAGACGCGATTTTGGGGGTTCGTCAACCGATTCGCGTTGACTTCTTCCGTTTATCGATTGGCCATCGACTTGGGGGAGGAGGATCGATTTTCCTGCCCCGTTGGCCAGGAAACTCCTCCCTCGCGCGATCGTGGAGGAGGAAGAGTCCCATCTCACCCTGGACGAGGGTGACCGAGGTTTCCTCCCCAAGTCGAAGGCCCCGTTAATTCTGCCGAGGAAAAAACGGGACTCCGAATTACGCCTAGCTACACGTGCGTTGCAGACGTTTTATGGCTGCATTGTTCCACGAGTTGGCGACGGTCGTTGTAGAGGACCGTGACACCCGCGGAACAATGCAGCCCTTCGTCGGTCAACTCGGGCCTTGCGCTTTCGAAAAGCTAAAGCGCTTGAATGCTTTACGATGAAATTTGCCAGATGCGGAATGTTCGAAGACTTTTTTGACAAAGTCAAGGTTCCGCATCTGGCACCATAAACGAACGGAAAAACCCGAGCTGACCGGACGGAACATTAACAGTTATGGAAAAAAGAAACGCCCTGGACGGCCTGTAACTTTAATAACACGCAGTAAACGTGCTATTATGAGAGCAGCATCGAATGCATCGATAACCGCATGGAAGATTGACGAAGCTTCTCGAAGAAAAACGAATGTTAGAAACGCGCAACGTGTTCTGCAACAGCGCAAACATTTACAACAAAGGAAACTGCAAAGGAAACCTCTTTTAACAGAGGCACGTAAAAAGGTAAGGTTGTAATTTGCGGAGCAACGTGTACAATGGTCGAAGAACTAGAGACGAGCGCTGTTCGGTGATGAGAAAAAATTTAATTTGGACGGTCCAGACGGACGGAATTATTATTATCACGATTTACGAAAAGAAACAAAAATTTTGATAAAAGGTAAATACATAATACACGATAAACTAAATATAGTAAATACATTCGTCGTTCGATTAAAAAGTGAAGATGAAAAATATAAATATTATTTCTAAGTACAAAGACATTATTATGCGACGTGTAGAGCTTTAGGAGAGTTTGGTTAATTCAAGTGTTTCTCGAATCCCTCGCTACATTCTCTCTACGAAGTGTAAGATTCTTAGTACGTGGGTGTATAGTTTCTTGGCTTTAAAATAAATCTTTATTTTTCATTTAATTAAAATCATGAGAAGGACAATGTTAAACAAACTGAAACACCTAGTTTCTAGAAAAACAGCCACAGAAAACAAACATCACTGGCTCGCAAAAAAGATGGCTCCCATTGTATCCCTTTTTTTCCTTTTTCTAGTATCGACATTCCGGTTTTTTCTTCTGTTTTCCCATGCTTTCGCCATCGACTATTGTCCGTCGACCGAAACATCACTGTTTTCTTCGTTTTTCCTACTGTCTCCCATTTCTTTCGTCTTCCTTGGAATTTTTAGGTCCTTTTCTATCTCTCATGCAGAATTTTCTTCCTCCCTCAGATTAATCCGAACATTGTACAATCGTGTTGAATTTAATAACAAGAGTATTTAAGTACTAACAAATTGTCTGAACCGTTAAAAGTGCCGCTATAAGTTTTCTTATGAGAATACTGAACTGATGTGAAACAAGTAAGAAAAATTAACGTGTTCTACTAATCAGAAATAACAGCGCAATGAACAACAAGAGAAGAACAGTTGTATTGTTATTTAAAATGGCCATCTTTTGAGCATTGAAACACACAGAAAATTCACAATTAAACAAATTCAAATGCAGTAGAAGTTCGAACTTCGATCGACTTTAATAAAGTCGATGCTTTAATACTATTTGCGGAGTTGCAGTTTCGCTGGTTCATAAACTTTTCATGATTCGGGATTATAAAATTCAATAGTAAATACAGAATTTTTCAAAACGTGAAATTCAAATTCCTTACGGAAAAAGAAATTGAAAAGTCTTTTTCCATTTCGGGATCCAATGCTCCGTTCTCGAGATATGAGCAGTTAAAGTTGTAATGCGCGATCGTGCGCAGGCGATGGCGCGCATATCAGCTGATCGTGGATAAAAATGGCGGCAGTGACCTTGGTAGACTTCACAACTGCTCGTATCTCACGAACGGAGCCACGTACCGAAAAACGGTAAAGGACTTTTCGCTTAATTTTTTCACAAAGAATCCGAATATATCGTTTTTTAATTTATAATAATTGCAAAAATAATGGACTAAAAACTATTTTTTTTTAATGAGACAATTTACTTATTAAGAGACCGATTATGGTTGTTTTATCGTGACTCACCTTTCCAAATTCGCTGAGCCCGGGCGTCGAGTTCTGGGTACTGTTCATCTCGCCAACTGAACAGACTGCCCTGCCAAGAAAATGTCTGTTAAAATTCGATTCTTCCGATCTTCTGCCATTGTTAGCCTAAACTATTTCTTTTTATCACTATACACTAACCATAGCGCGTGAAAAAAAAAATAAAAACCATAATTAATTACAGCACAATCGAGTGCAGATCGAGTAAATATTTCAAGAAAGTTTTCGTATATAAAGTTCAATTGTTTTTGGGTTTATGTGTTGCTTCTCGAAAGTGGAATGGGATTTACTCACCAGGAAGTGTCGCACGCATGCGTCAGGGTTAAGTATCTGGCCCCCAGGCCGTAAAAAGTCCTAAGAACGCCTAGGGAATTTCCCAGTGAGTGGCCACCTTCGACGCCGATCAAACTAGCGATTTTACCTTCTCGATGAGCCTCGATGAGACCTACGTAAACAAAACAAATTTTCCTGGTTTAAATAATTTGTATGTAAAATATTTGTTTGAATAATCGGTTCCTAACCTTAACATTAGGTAAAGTTAGGGGGACTTAATTATTAACACGGTAAAGAGAATATGATAGGTAAAATGTAGCGATGAGATTCTTTTTCTTACGAACAAATAGTACTTTTTGTAAGTGTTGTATTAAGATATTAATTTTAATGAGTTTAATTGATTTAATTGAAGACATTTCTTTATTAGCGAAAATACAACAGGTCAATTATTATTACTTAGCCATTAATACTGTAGAAATTGAAAATGGGAAGCTAAAATTAGTTACTGGAAAATGAATATTTTTAAGTTAAGTTTGAACATTTTTTTTACAAAAAACTTGTATAGTTTTTTTTTTTAATTTTTCACACATAATTAGTGATACTTAAAGAATGCGTATAAATTTTTCGAAAGTAAAATATTACTAATTGACCATTTTGCACGATCTGCAATCGTTTAAGAGAATATTGTATTAGTATTTAAACGTCAACTTTGATAATTTTTTGCTTTAAACCTATACAATAGTTTTTATCAAAATTTATTACATTTATTTACTGATATTTATGCAATGCATATAAATTTTTTTGAAAGTAATCATTCCGTGTAACTTGTTATTCCCCCCAGAAAAGTATGGGTCATTTATGGCAAAAAGCATTAGTTTAAAAAATATTTCACTGTTAATATTGTGGGTCGTAAACATTACTAATGTGATGTAAAAATCGAAATATCTTTTAAACTGATCGTTTTTCGTCATAAGTGGCAGTGTTTTTGCGCAGGGAAAACAAAGTTGACCTTCGTATGCCCTCTACACATCTACTTAAGAAAATGTCACTTGAACGAAATTGTGTGGCTCATAGAACCACTTAACTTTCGTTGAAAACATTTTTTCGTATCATCGTCAATTTCAAAGATATTCGACCAGGAGAATCAGATTTTCAAGTTTTAAATGCTATTGCTCGTTCCAGCGGTAATTAGATTGCTAGCAAGGCGTACCAACCTCGAGAAAACAATGGATACAGCTCGAAACGGCGCAGCCTGGCAGGAAGTTTGCTCTCGAGGAAACTCGAGAGGACAAAGGAGACTAGTATTAATTGCTCTGAAGCAGTATCGTTCGAGAGGAAAGTAATTATTGGTATCAACTTGACAAAACCGTTTCGTATTGTTAGGGAATCCATTTTAATAGAAGTTACTAGCTACTTGAATGCAATTTCGCGTCGTTTTAGGGACATTTTGTATTAAAATTGCCCTCTTTCTCTCCCTAAAAGATTTATATATGCTAATAATTTAAAATTTATTTATTTGTTTCGTTAATTAAAATTGTGTTACTGTATATAAATTTTGTAAAACTGCCACTTTATGAATCTTAACACTTCCTTGAAACTCCATTCTATATTTCAGTATTATTTAACAGATGAACAATTATGGGGAAATCGTAAAATTTCTTTTAATAGAAATAGTTTTGATGTTGAAATAATAAACTTTTTAAATTTTCTAACTTAGAACTTTTCATTTCGACTTACTTTCACCAAATTTATATTCAACGAAAGACGAATTTCAGGAAATTGGTTTTATAGTTTACATTTTAAATTAAATAAGTTTATAATTTTCTAATTTGGAAACAGTCATAAATAATGTAGCTTTCAAATTGAAATTTTTACTGTCATCTGTGCACGTGATATTAAAGAAAATTGTTTATGAATTTTTCAATTTGATAATTTTTTGTTTTTAAAAGATGGGAGTTGGAAAATCAATTTGCACATAAATCGATTCAGCGTACTGAGTATTATAAAAATATATATTTTAAAATTTTAAATTATTTAAAGTTATTTGAAAAATTACACGAGTGGTTAATAAACAAACTCCGTAACTATGTATGTATACATACAGGGTGTTCGGTCACCGCTGGGAAAAATTTTAATGGGAAATTCTAGAGGCCAAAATAAGACGAAAATCAAGAATAGCAATTTGTTGATCGAGGCTTCGTTAAAAAGTTATTAACGTTTGAAATTGCGCCTGTAGATAGGCAATCTGGGTACAGCTGCGTGCGCGCGATAGTGGTTCTCATCCAGCATGAGAAACTCTACTTCGTGATGTATCGACGGCCTTACAGTTTTCTTAGTGAGAATCACTATCACGCGTACGCAGCCGTTCGCAGATTACCGTTCTACAGGAGCAACTTTAAACGTTAATAACTTTTTAATGAAGCCTCGATCAACAAATTGCTATTCTTGATTTTCGTCTTATTTTGGGATCTAGAATCTCCCATTAAAATTTTCCCCAGGGGTGGCCGAACACCCTGTATAGTCTGTCCTGGCTACCACGAACGGCCATTTAACCGGTTAAACGATTTATATTTGTTTGAAAAACATCGAAGAAAATTTGGTATCAAATTCTGGTTAGTTTCCAATGTGAATAGAAAATGTGTAATAAAGATGACTGTTTTAGAATAGTCTAACAACGCGTATTAAAAGTACTGAAATTTTAGACACGTGCAATCCCGAAACTGCTAATGTTTTCTCCATAATCGAGCCATCGTTAGAAGCGGCAAAGTTTCCTTTTTAACATGGTTTTTGGATTATGTAGATTCCGCTTTCCGTTTTGAAGATATCGTAATTTATATGAAGGGGTAATTCCTTAAATTCATCTATTGCTGTCTCTGTCTAACGCGACGGACCTCTCTCTCTCTCTCTCTCTCTCTCTCTCTCTCTCTCTCTCTCTTTCTCTCTTACACGTGCGACGTGACAATTGTGACCGAGTGATGTAGTATTTACTGTTTACTACGAGCACGTACGGTCAACGACCTTGCCGTATCATCCATGAAAAGTAAACAAACGCTTCGAACCATTATATCTCTGGAACTATTGTATTTACGCTATCGACTTGAAACAAGTTTAATTTTAAAAGACTTTTTATCCTCTATCTGATGGACATATAAACTATTATTATTTATACTGTCTTTTACGTTTATTTTGAAATCTGCTTTGACTCTATGCGCCCAAAGAATTTTCTGCAATTCCTATTGATCATACGAGTTGTGTGCGATAAAATTACATTATAAATTGTTTATTTAATTGAAAATGAGTTTAAATTTGTATGCTGGGTGTTTGCATAATTACTATGCTATTTTTTTCGTAAATAATTGCTTTCTCTGGAATCAACTACGACATAGTTTGTAAACTTTCTATTGGAAATGATGTTAAAATGATTTTATTGGTAGCGAGAGTTTATATGGGATTTGTGGGGTATATTTACCTTTGACGGAGGTAACCAAGGTTAAATGTTGAGCATTCATCTCGGCCAGCCGACGAATCACGTCGATCTGTTCCAAAGAAAGTTGGACCGCGTTCAGCTGGGCCGCGCCGCAGGGAACGTAGGCGGACCAAAACTGAAAAAAGAACGGAAAGGAACGACGGTTATTGATCATATCCATTATTATTTTCACGAAGAGTTGCACCTTTTGGTCGTACAACTGTTGCGTTAACTAAAAACAAACTTCAATTTCACTTGCCAAGCAATACAAAATAATGATAAAACATTTTAATACAATTCGACGAGTCAGTTTTATGTAATTTATTCAACCACTCAGGTCGGCATAGTATTTTTTGTAGATTAAATGATGCTCCACGAGGGTTAAAGAATTATAAAAATTACAAGAAGAACAATCAGCGCCTAATTTATATATTAATCAATAATGAAAATATTTAAATGAAACTTTTCTGTAAAGTAGAGTTCATGGGTACCTACAAAAAAGTATTAGACAACTTTTCTGGAGAGCGTCAAACAAAATTACTAAAAATCTAAAACGAATTTTTAAGAAAAATCGACAGGGGGGTAGGTGCCTAGATTTTTCGACGAAATTGAAAAGTTTCAAATCACTCTGGAAAAATTATTTTCGATTGCAGGTGTCAATTGCAATCAATTTTGGTGAACACACATACCTTCGAAATCCTATCTACTTCCGAGAAAAAAAATCCGGTAGAAGCTAAAATTTTTCGGTGAAAAAAAAATTGTTCAAATCGTTCTAAAAAAATTATTTTCGATTGCAGGTGTCAATTGCAATCAATTTTGGTGAACACACATACCTCTGAAATCCTACGTACTTTCGAGAAAAAAAATTCCTTATCGTAAATATAATGTGTAGCCAGTAATGTTTGTGTAATTTTATTTTCTGTCTCACTTCCTCTTGTGTTCATTTGTATAACCTGTTGGTAATGTTGCGAGTGACACGAAAATGGTAATGGGGCTCTAGAGCCCCAGAAAAATGGGCTGAAAAAATACATTGGGTGAAAGGTCTATTCGTATATCTCGTCTGTGGTAAAATCACCTCCGAATTTTTAGGTTGGTATGGCAGTTAATTCGGACCACAAAAGTCCATAAGGCGAAAGGTTTACTCGTATCACAGACGAGGTATACGAGTAGACCTTTCACCCAATGTATTTTTTCGGCCCATTTTTCTGGGGCTCTAGAGCCCCATGACCATTTTCGCGTCACTCGCAACATTACCAACAGATTTAGAAATGCATTTCAATCGCACACGTTACAACTGTCTGTCCATCAATACTAATTCAGTGAATAGTTTCTCAACTGACGAGGACGCTAAAATTACCTCCGAATTTTTCAGTCGGTATGGCAATTGTTCGAACTGAAGTACAAAAAGACAAAAATTAACGAGATACACTCTTCCAAAGTGGAACAAAGTGTTAAAAAGATCATGCATCAAATTGTAAGGGGATCCTCGTAAGATAGCTTTAATCTTCGTAATGGTTTTAATGGGTCGATGATCAATAATGACTAGCTTATGGTCGCTGGTGGTCAACAGTGAGGTTGACATCAAGGTCACCGGTCCAGCGAAGATCCAGAAATGGTCAAGAGGTGGTATCAATCAAAATAGTTTCTTTGTAGACAAGACAGTCTTAAATGTTAACTTTAACTTTGGCTCTGACTGGTCTCCCCACCTTAGACATATAAGCATGGCTACTGCGAAGAATTCTTCAGTCTCGTCGCGAATTCGGGAGTGTACGAATAGCGAGAAATGAACTGGGGACCGCTGCTGACCACTGCTGACCTCTGCTGGCCGCTGCTGACCACTACTGGCCAGCGCTGACCATGGCTGACCACTACTGACCGCTACTGGCCAGTGATGACCAGTGCTGGCGCCACTACTGACCACTACTGACCAGTGCCGGGCGATGATGGCCTACGGTAAGAACTCTAAAAATTCTCTGCTCTCTTCTATTCTATCGTTTGATGCCAATTTCGCTTCAATGAACTGATTTTGCCTTGCTTGTCTAACTGATGCTGCTATAATATGAATATTTTCTTACTCTACAGCTGACCCAATGGTAACTACCCTACTGTACTGACAACAAGTAGTAAGTCCACTCCACTTATTTATATTTTATTATTTTTATTTGTTTGTTTGATGTGAATTCAACTTTCTTTATCTATCTGATTTTATTTGGTTATTATGAATGTTCCTTTTCTCTGTTTCTACTTTTACATTGTTTTGATATGTATAATATTGCAGGATATAATAATGTAATATTGTTTTCAATCATATACTATATTTGTTTCTATACAATTTCATGAATTTTTATTTTTACGTTCTTGCTCGAATTCTCGTAATATTCTACGGAGGTACTTTCTTTGATTCTTCCATTTCGTTTGATTGTTTGGTGTTGATTCAACTTCGTATCTCGATCCAAGTTTCTTTCATTAGAATTACGAATGTTCGTTTTGATATGTATAACATGGTGTCGATGCATATACCATATTTGTTTCGATTACACTGATTAATATAAGATTTTCATTTTTATGTTTTAGCTTAAATTCTTGTAACATTTTGCTAATATACTCTGTTCAATTCCCTTTAGCTATGTGATAGATCATTTTTAAGTGTTTATTAAATTTCTTACCATATCTCACTAATATAAATATTAGTTTTGATTTACCTTCACCTCTTTTTAAACAAAATAATTGCTTGGTACAATTAAACTGGATTTAAGCTTCGACTGGTTGTATACGTGCTTTCTTTGACAAGTGTAGTTAGTATCTTTTGCTTAAAATTATAATCTTCTTGCACACCGTGATTTTTAAGATGACAAATGTCATAGTAGATTCAATTGTTTTTAATTTGACACTCATTTTAAAATGAATATATAATGAGTACATATATGTATAGACGCAAACACACGGATTGACATTATTTTTGGAGTTTTATTATTGTCTTCAGAACTGTTAAATGGTTATTTTGAAAATTCTACTTTCCAATATTCGTTTACTCGAAACAATATTTTAAATTCAAACTGGTCTCAAAAGTTTAACTGATTTTTTATTTTTTGGGGATCCTAAAGAATTTGTAAAACTTCGTTGTTTGACATCAATTTACATCAAGTATAACGACAATTAAAATAGTCAAAGTATGGAAACGAAACGTTTATAATAAAAATTGGAAATTTAAAAATTGCAAATATAAAAACTGAGAAATACTTAAATGCCGTCAGTGTCACTATACTTTTCTTCTTTTGCTTTAATTTAATGTACTTAGTTCTATTTTTACACGTTAATTGCGTCCCGAAGTGGATACTTTAAAAAAAGAACGTGTAAAAAAAGACACTGCTTACAATAAAAGGGAGAATTTGTTCGATAACTTTGAAAAATCGCGTGGGAAGGAAAAGGGTAACTATTTATAAAAGGAAAGGTTCCGATAAACGGAAGAAAAAAACTTTTCATTAAAAACTTTCCACACTTTCAATATTTTTTTTCAAATTTTATTTCATATCTATTCTACATTTTGTATATCAGCGTCCACATTTGTGTGATTCTTTTGTGTCACATGCTATGTGGAGTGTGTATATTGATATTAATAGTACACTAAAATTCATAGTATATAATTTATTTAGTTAGTTAAAGTAGATTTGTAAAGCGTATTCCTTTTAAAAATTATAATTTTTAAATCTGACTAAAAAGTTTAAATATCTTTATTATATTCTGTAAGTTTATTACTAGATATTACTTAAATAGCGTAATAATAAATTTTAAACTTGGATATTTTAAAATTTGAATCTTCAAAATTGGAAAATTTAAATGTTGCAAATTTAAAACTCAGAAATTTAAATTCGTGTCGAATCCAAAAATTAGACATATCTGAGTAAAGGAAACTATATTTTGTTTTATATGAATTTATTTTTTCAAAGTACGATATATTTTATAAATATAAAATATTTTAAAATTAGATTTTAATGCAAAACATGAATCAGTTAATTTTCGATAACCATATACTTCGATATGTTGACTTGATGAACACTATAATAATAATTGTAGGTAATATTTCAAACAAAAGTTGGATGCTAAAAAAAATGTCCATTCTTTACATCCTGTGTATGTTGTTTTAGGTTTTTTACGTGTTTTTTAGGACTCTCGATGAACAAAAAATGTCTTTATTACTTCCTCGAAAAACGATAAGAAAGTTATTAAAAGTGAGTCTAAAATATAGGTATGATGACGATCAAATCTCTTTATACGTAAAACTATAATAACGTATGTATTTTATATCATTTTAACTATTTTCGTAAGGTAGATACATGTTTCTATTATTGGACATATCAGAATATTGATTGCTTATGAGAAGTAGCTTTTTCCTAATATACAACAATATTTTAATAAAGTATATAAATTTGTACTGACTGAAGTCTCCAGTTTTATAACTAAATTAGTTGTGAAGTGTTATGTGTCTATTATAATGAAAATTGTATTGGATTTCGTGTCCTTTTAATTGACCTGCTTGCGCCATTTATCGAACATCCCCCCCTCCATTACTAACCAACAATATTCTCCACTCTACATGAAACAAAATGACAAATTTCTATTTAGTGATATAATAATAGTAATAGACGGGTAAAGTGATATACTATTAATAATGGATGAAAATTGTACATTTTTAGGTTATTAAGTTATATACATATTTTATAATTAAACTACTTTTTTTTCTGATATCAATTTTTGTTTCTTCTCTTTTCGTTTTCACCAGTATTATATTTTACAAATAATATTTTCATGTCACTTCCTCTTACAAAATCAATGATAACCTAGATAAATAATAAATATAAACATATATTACAAAATAAAAATTGCTACTATTAAACAAAAGGAAAGCTTTCTTTCTATTTTATGATTCTTTGTATATTTCTACAATAGTTAGCTTTAGTGAATCACTACATGAATTCATGTACTTTTATATTTCGTGTTTTCAATGAACTTTTACATAAATGACAAAGTCTTCAATCTGTATCTTAAATTACTTAGAGATATAAAATGTTAGTTATTGCTTTAAACAAAAGTTTTCATTGTTTTGGAGGGGAAGCGATGCAGACATTTTTTGTTCTCTGGAAACATACATTCTGAAAGATCTTGCATGAATTTTTCATTTCCAGACAATAACAAAAATGGACAGTTTTAAATAGGCAATTTATACCTATATTGTAACAGTTTCCAAACTCTGGTTTTGCCTAATTGGGAATCGTGAACGACCTAATTATACAAGGTTGTTTCGAAGTTTCGAGAAAATTCGTATTTGAAATTTCTTTCAGTTTTCGCGGAGTTTAGGGTGAAGACGATTTTCCATCTCAGTTTCCATTTTCTAGGTTTGACTAACAATAAGTATAAGTGCTCGCGGGCAGTAAAGTTTGCCCGATGGAGACTTCTGTTGCCTGTTAATGCACTTCTGATGCTTTTTCGCAATATTTCGATAAAAGTTCGTCGTATGAACTGCAATTTATAATATTCTAAACGGGATATGAGAATTTCCTGGGAAAAATTGCTAATGCAAAATTCGGAATTTGTGTGTTTGTGATTTTCCTAGAATTTGAAATATTTGTGCTAATACATTTTGTTTGATTGTTCTTCTTGTTTCAACAGGAAGTATAAGCTACTTAATTCTCAGAAATATTCACTACAATTATTGTTATATTAATTCAAAATTAATAGCGTAAAATTAAGTAGTCCTTTCGATGTCAAATATTTCCCAGATTTGACCTTAAATGACGCCACTCTTTGTTCAATACATATTAAATACTTACTCTTTATAATGCGACAAGAAGTATAAAATACCTAATTTGTACAACATTTGGTCATAATAATTATCATATTTATATAAAACTATCTAAGTAGATTATATTTCGCGCATCCAGTAGTTGTAGGGCCCACCGCGGAGCGGCGGTTCTTAACATCCTGTGCCATCAAGTAGAAGTTGTAATTTAGTTCACTGTTCTGTGTTTGGTGTTCCAAGTAACCTCTGACTACAGCACGTACGTAAAACATCATCTAATACTGTCTACCGCGTTATATTTATAATGTTTCCGAGCAATTTTAATTAAATAAAGATTATAATAACAAAGTAACTACGCCAACAAGCTGCTAACCTCAAACTTATCCTTAACGCCTTCGTCGGCAAATTGAACGAAGTTTCTAGTAAAATTATCACAGACGTTGCCTGCGTGTTTTAAATAAAATACGCGACCTCAATTGTCACTCTTATCAGTTACCCTTTTAAAAGAACGTCTCTTTCCAGTTGGATAACCTTATCTCCCTTTCGCTTATTAATAACTCGTTGTTATTCACGTTTCAAGTATTGGGAAGATAGAAACGTCAAGTTCGCTCGGTTGGCAACGAAGCCAACTCAATCTGTTAACAATGTCAGGCCTTTCAGCTTTACGATTCTCAGAGATTCTGAAAAGTGAGTTACCGCTATGTTTCTAACGCTGCTTTCTATAATTCTTACATAGTTTATATTTGCTCAAATATTTCTACCTTAAGCAGGAACAAATTAGATCGAAGGATCACAGTATGATGGTATAACACTATAATACCAATCGACTTTCGAGATTTAGACAGTTTAAATTATTACATAACCTCCAAATGTCCTCGAATGCGAAAATTTTAGGCCAACTCGCTCAACCGAAGTGTCATAATATTTAAGTATTCTCATAATAATTTGAAGAAAATTTTTATTCATGAAAGGCACGTGTTTTAATTATTATCAAGGTTATACAGGGTGTTCGGTCACTTCTGAGAAAAATTTTAGTAGGGGATTCTAGGGGCCAAAATAAGACGAAAATCAAAAATATCAATTTGTTGACTGAGACTTCATCAAAAAGTTATTAAAAAATTCAATTTAAAAATTTCAAATCATTCTGAAAAAATTATTTTTGATTGCGGGGGCCAATTAGAATCATTGTTGGTCAATAGACATACCCCCAAAATCCTATGCACTTTCGAGAAAAAAATTTCTTACCGAAAATATAATTTCAGGCCAGAAATGTTGCCCCAAAATTTCATGCGAATGTTTAAAACATCATAACTCCCGAACAGATTGGAGGATTTTAATGTTTCAAAAGGCAAATTACGCGTATTTTGATGAAGAATATGTGGAAATTCCAAAAATATTCCAAAAGTTGTTCCTTGAGACCGTAAAGTGAGAAAAACCCCATAAAAATGGTCCAATTCTCAAACAGTCATAAAACTCCTACAATAGTGAATATATTTCAATAAAATTTTTTTCTAAAGTAGTGCTCACGGGCACCTACAAAAAAGTTTTAAACAACATTTCTGTACAGCGTCAAACAAATTTATTAAAAATGAAAAACAAATGTTTATGAGAAATCGACAGGGTAGGTTCCTAAATTTTTCGTTGAAATTGAAAAGTTTCAAGTCATTCTGAAAAAATTATTTTCGGTTGCGGGGGTCAATTACAATCATTTTTGGTGGGTAGACATTCCCCCCGAAATCCTGCCTACTTTCGAGAAAAAAATTCGGGCAGATGCTGAAATTTTTCGGCGAAAAAAAAATTTTCAAATCGTTCTAAAAAAATTATTTTTGACTACGAGGGTCAAATACAATTATTTTTGTTGAATACACATATCCCTGAAATCCTAACCAGTTTCGAGAAAAAAATTTATTACCGAAACCTCCATGTCTGACCATCGTTTAGACGTTCTACTGAAATTTCATGCGTATCTTTAAAACATCATAACTTCCGAACGGATTGGAAGATTTTAATATTTCGAAATGCAAACTACGCGTATCGTAATGGAAAATATGTAGGAATTCTAAGAATATTAGAAAAGTTGTTCCCTAACCCAGTAAAGTTCGAAAAACCTGATAAAAATGGTCCAATTTTCAAATGGCCATAACTCCTACAATAGTCAATGGATCACATTGAAATGTAGTATGAAAGTAGAGCTCATGGATACCTACAAAAAAGTACTAAACAAAATTTCCGTACGACTTCAAATAAATTTATTAAAAATGAAAAACGAATTTATACGAAAACGGAACAGAGGATAGGCGCTAAATTTTTCGGCGAAAAAACAAAATTTGACATCGTTCTGGAAAAATTATTTTCGGTTGCGGGGGTCAATTACAATCATTTTTGGCCAATAGACCTAACCCCGAAATCCTGCGCATTTTCGAGAAAAAAATTCAGTACGTGCAGAACTTTAAACGTTAATAACTTTTTAACGAAGCCTCCATCAACAAATTGGTATTCTTGATTCTCATCCTATTTTCGCCTCTAGAATTTCCCATTAAAATTTCCAGGGGGTGGGCGAACACCCTGTATACAGTTAAAGTTTGAATTTTTGTCTCGAAAATGCGCAGGATTTCGGTGGTATATCTATTCACCAAAAATGATTGTAATTGACCCCCGTAACCGAAAATAATTTTTCCAGAACGATTTAAAATTTTTGAATTTAATTGTTAATAACTTTTTAACGAAGCCTCCATCAACAAATTGGTATTCTTGATTTTCGTATGGTTTTGACCTCTAGAACCCCCCATTGAAATTTTTCCCAGGTGTGGCCGAGCACCCTGTATATGTACATTAAATTTCCTTTGGAAAAGCATTTCGATTGGACGAATTGAATTTGCCATTGTAAAAACTTTCTTCCTTCTTCTCCTGACAACCCTTTTATTCCAGACTTCGTTGGTCGCGGAATTTATTCTATTTTGCACGCAAAGAGACGAACGGAATAATCTTTAGTGGATTCTAAGAAGAGTTATAAACTTAAGGATTTTATGAAAATGTTTTTAACAGGGAAGTATGAAATAAGATGTCACGCAATATTGTTATTGTAAGTTTGAAATTTAGGATGACCCCCATTCGATACTTGTATTGCTTCACGGAGATTTAACTGTGGTCCATTAGCAATTTTTATCGCGAACCATTTGCAATTTATTGTGGGCGTTTTAAAATTTATCATAGGTCACTTGAAATATATCATGGATCGCTTGAAATTTATTATGGGTCATTTGAAACATATCATGGATCGCTTGAAATTTATCATGGACATTACTCATCGAGGTTGTGTGTAAAATTGATCATGGATCATTTTAAACTTATCGCGACTCGTTAGAATCTTATTGTGAGTCACTCGAAACATATAAACTCCGCGACAAGAGGATAGCTCGCTGAGTAATTTTAATAGTTTTCGTAAATATAGATAAATAATAGCAGTCTTTATATTATATATCACTCTTCAACTAATAATATATCGCAAATGTTCAGGGTAAACACGTTTTTTCTGTTTAAGCGGGGAAACCACCATGACGGTTGATTATAAAGGCAACTTCAAGAATATTTTGGCCGTACCTATGAGACTTTTTCTAATAAATGTTTAATGTATTCGAAAGTACATTTCTTGAACTACTTCTCGTAAAAATTTCGTATGAAAATATTAATTAATATAGCCAGAACAGGAACCAGCGTGAGAGGTCTCCAAAAATTTGTTAGAAACGGGCGAATGTGTAATTTTTCACTGCAAGTTGTGAAACAAGAAATTATGCAATTTTCGTTAACTATAAGACAGTAGTTTCAATTGCACGTACGGATTTTTGAAAATAATTATTTATTATAAAATGGTGGAACTTTGAAGGAAAAATCTTAAATACTGTGACAAAATCAATACTTCTTTTAACACCACGCCGAAACTAATTATTCGATCGAAAATTCCGTAATGTGCAACTGAAAAGAATAGTATTAGGAGCCATTGTACAAAATTTTAAGTAAATCGGATGAAAATTGACCGAGTTATCGAATCGTCCAGTTTGGAAAATGTGGTTTTGAGAAAAACGCGTTTAAAGTTTTGCATCAAATTATCTATGAAATAATGTTGGAGTTTTTAAACTTTCGAAAGGACATACACTTCAAGATCCTAAAACGTATCCTCTGTAAAAAGATCATCGTCATCTCCTTCGTTTATATCTCGTGTTTCGGAGAGGCGAAGCGTGTTCTGTTTATGTCGATATGCGTCTGCCTGTGGTCCAATTTTAATATCGAGGATCTTCATTATTTGTAATAATCCTGAATAGCCATCGTTAAATTGGATTATGGCTAAATAAGTTGCCAATTGGATCACTTTAGTCGTATATCATGTAAAACACTTTTCAATCACGTGAAACTATTACCACAGCAGAAATAATAAAAAAGTTTCAAATGAACGTCCCGAAATAAAGACTAGTTATTTCAAGCGTTACACATATTACATGTTCTTGGTCTACTAAATCACCTGTAACTTTGCCACTTTTGCGAATTTTACATAAATATTTTAGGGGGTCGTTTTTAAAATCCCAAGCATTGAAAAGAGATAAAAAAAAGTTCGATTTTTGCAATCCGTCACAATGATTTCCCCTTCTGATATGTTAAAAGTTATCTCATACGTAAGCATTAGTGTCGATCACTGCGTAAAAATGATAACACACCTTCAAAGTTTTGTTTTTTCAGTTAACAGAAGGTCGTCGAACTGTTTTCACGAGCAAGTATTTAACTTGAAAAAGAAATTTTTCAAATCGTTCTGGAAGAATTATTTTCGGTTGCGGGCGTCGATTACAATCACTTTTAGTCATTACGCATATCCACGAAATCCAGCCCACTTTCGAGAAAAAAATTTCTTACCGAAAATGTAATGTCTGACCATACATGACATGTTTCCCTGAAATTTTATGCGTATTTTTAAAACATCATAACTCCTGAACGGATTGGAGGATTTTAATGTTTCGAATGGCAAACAATGCGTATGTAGGTGAAGAATATGTAGAAATTCCAAGACTATTCGAAAAGTTGTTCCTTAACCCCGTAAAGTGAGAAAACCCCCATAAATGTGGTCCAATTTTCAAACAGCCATAACTCCTATAATAGTGAATATATTTCTTTGAAACTTTTTTCTGAGGTAGAGCTCATGGGTACCTACAAGAAAATACTAAACAACATTTCCGTACAGCGTCAAACAAATTTATTAAAAATGAAAAACGAATTTTTAAGAAAAATCGACAGGGCCCTAAAGTTTTCGGCGAAATTGAAAAATTTCAAATCATTCTAAAAAAATTACTTTCAGTTACGGTGGTCAATGACAATCATTTTTGGTGACTAGACATACCCCCGAAATCCTACCCACTTTCTAGAAAAAAATTCAGTACGGGCGGAACTTTAAACGTTAATAACTTTTTAACGAAGCCTCCATCAACAAATTGGTATTCTTGATTATTGTCTTATTTTGGGTGGCCGAACACCCTGTATTTTGCGAGGTTTAGATCAATTTTCGTAGTTTAAACAAACGTATAAAAAATTCCAGGGTCTCTCGCTTGATGGAAATGATATTAATACGTAAGTTTCTATAGAATTTGTAAAATTTTATTTTATTGAGCGTACCAAAATATCAACGATTAAACATTAATGTTATAATATTGGAAACGGCGATATATTTAAATCAAATTCCTTCAATAAAATTCGTAGAATTTAATTTTACTATACATTTAAATATTGGTAATTTTAATATAATTCAAATATAATTGGATTATTATGTCTTGTCTCGGCTTGTGAATATAAAGGAATTAGTGTACATAAATAATAAATAAATAAACATCAATGTCAATACGAACTGAAATATATTAAAATTCGAGTTATTTCTATAAAATTAAAAT